GGCCTGGTATGGGCCTAACCTTTTAGGCCCGTTTGGGCCCGGGTTTAGGCCATCATTTTGAAGCCTGGCTCTGTCTATAGGCCCGGCCCGCTTGGTCTAGCCCATCGGCCCACTTAAGGCCCACTTACGACCCGGCCCGAGACCCTGTGTCTTTTTTAGTGAAAAATAATAAAATTTTAGTAGAAAAAATTAAAAAAACAAAAAAAAAAAATAGTCAGGCCAGGCCAATAGGCTTAACTTTTTGGCCCGTGGCCCAACCCGCCCCAGCACGAATTTTTGGGGGAGCCCGCGAGGCCCAACATAGGCCGGGTCGGGCCATATTTACACCTCTATTTAGTCTTTAGGGGTAAAACTTTTTGTTAGAATATTTACCAAAATAAATAATTAATTATAGTCAAAATAAATATAGATACAAATTATCATCATGAGAAGACATCAGATTTACGAGGTTTGGCAAATCCGCCTACATCCACAGATATTACCCCTCGTCCACTATTTTAAATATGTATTACACGTCATATCTCTAAATATATGAATATACAATAAATCGGACTAAGGTGCGATAATCTCACTCTCTTTGAAAGGATTCAAGACCTTCTCAGTTGGTAAAAACTACCACTTCCTGATGCAACAGGCTATCACATATTAACATGTCATCCCTAGGATACAACAAACCGACTTTAAGTCGTGTTGACTCCACCAACCCTGCACAAGTAAGTGAGTTTAAAGCTACACCATAAAAAACCTTTACAAGTTCCCTAACCATTTCTATATAAACACAATATAAAATATATATACTTATATTTTTCATGTACACTTCCCCCTATATATACACATCCATCAAAACATGAAGAGCCGCATATTAAGGGTTGATTTGGGGTGTTCTAAAAAAGTATATTTTTTGTCTTTTTACGAAAAGATGTACAGAAAAGTAGAGAGGTGATGTGATGGAAAAAAGATAAAAAGATGGATTATATAGTTCATGCCAAACCAACCCTAAATATAACAATAAATCAATTGTAACTCATAAACTTTCACATGACACACTCAAACTCTTTCAGTTCATCATATTGCATTATTATATAATCTTTAACTACACTTTATCACATGATGTATATATATACATGAATGCACTACAATAAATATATATATATATATACATATATCAAATTTAATATTAAAATAACATAAAGCATGTATGCACCAACACTTTTCAAATTCTAAAAATTTACTAAAGCTACCATGCACATTCATTTATGGCATGACCAACGCTAGTAACATTTGATCAGATGGTCATTTTCAATACAAATAATAATATAACACAATCTTTATATATAAGGATATTAGTATAAATATTAAAAGTTCAACAGCACATAACCTCTTGGTCTTATTCTATCTTCGCCCCTGCTCGATTAATATACTTTAAATAATTATAAATTTTGCCCCAAAAAAAATATTAAGAAATGTACATTATAACCAATGCTCTTAAAAATACGTTTGTATTAAAAAAATAAATAAATAAATAAACTTATGAGATTTGAAATCAAATCGCAATCAATCAAGCTGCTGTCAGGATTAAGAGCAAAATTGACAATTTCAAAGTCTGAAAGATGACTTTATATGTTACATGTATCTGAATGATCAATATTAGAAAATATTAACATCAAGTCATTTCAATTCTTCACTGTATCTCATTGACTATAATATGGCCAAATAATATGGTAATTCCGGAGTATTTACACCATTATGTTAGGACATTTGTTGTGTTATCTCTTAAAAACAGACAAAAACTGGTAAGTTCTACTATTTCAAAGTAGTGCACCATCTGCGTTTGTCTTGGAGCAAAATATCCGTTTGATAGAGCTTTCAAAATATAATCAAAATATAATTTCACTCATTTTTGAGTGTGGTGTTTATTTAGCATTTTTAAAAATTAATTCTACACTTAATTTTGAAAACTCTTTGCAAGGTGAAAAAATTTGGACTAATCGGTCGTCCTCCCGGACATCTGGCCAATTGACCAAAGCAGTGCTATTTTATTTTATTTTTTATTTATTTATTTTTTTTAACAATTGGCACCTGGTATTTTTTATAGTTTAAATATTAAAAAAAAATTATGAATTTTGAGTAGAATTTTGAGTTATGTGTTTGATTATAAATTGTAAGTCTTTGTATAAAATATCACATGTCACATCAAAAATTTCCCACTCAATTCAAAATTCATTCACCAAACAAATTTTTCACATTCAAATCATAATTACAAAACTCACAAACTCAAAATACAACTTTATTCTCAAATCATATTTACAAAACTCTACCAAACGCTATCATAATTTCCTATAGTAGTACGTCAAACTTCTGGATTTTTGTAATTTTATATTTTTTTTCTATCAATGTGTTTATACATTTTGCTCTTTAAATTAATAACAATACTACATACTTAGAAAAATTATTAAGAAAAATTCTCAAAAATTTATAAATCACAATCATTCTTGGTGAAGCCTACATCTACTAATTTTAAATCTAAACTATACACTTCGTTTCGGGATAAAATTCAAGGAACTTTTTCATGGTTAATATGGTTTGAGTTGATTACATTTTTTACTCTTGTAGTTTGATTCAAATTTTACTTTAATTCCTATAATTTCAAATTAAATAATTTGATTCATACACTTTAAGGTTAGTTTTAAGTTGATCCTTCTGTCTATATTGGAGGTTGAAATTAGTAATTTTAGAATACTTGTCAATTTTCTAAGGTACACATATAGACAAAATTAACAAAATTTAGACAGAAAAATAAACTGTAACTAGACTTAAAGTGTAGGGGCTAAATTATTTAAAATGAAATAATATGAACTACAATAAAATTTAAATAAAATTATATGAATGAAAAGTATAATTAATCCTAAATTAATATATTTCTGACTCCCAATGGGCAAGTCAACAATGGGCCCGCAATCCATACCATTTGCTCTTAATAACCAACTACAATACACTTATTAGTCAAAGCTAATTAAAAATTTTAGTTTTTGGACGTATGTGGTACAAATAGCCAATAAGTCACATGTACTAGTAAAGTCAATTTTACGAAGAATATTCAATGTAACAGGTACATCACGTCAATTTTAATGAATTATTGTATAATTTTCCTCCATTAAAAACATGACAAGGGTATTAAATTATTAAATTCTTGTCTCTTGGACCACCAGAAACCGTTCTCTCCACTTTTTCCTCTCTCCTTTCTCAGACTCTCTCTCCTCCTTCCATCAATGTTTTTTCTTTTTCTTTTTTATTGTTCTTTTTCTCTAATTTCAAATCTGAAATTTTCACTGAGAATCCATTCACCTACTCCATGATTTCCCCCTCTCAATACTTTCCCATTCTCAACTGATTCGAAAATTTCTGATGAAAAAATCCAGTCTTTTATCTCTTACCATTATATTCACCAAGAAAAATGAAATGAAGTTTTTTTATTGATGGAACATGAAGCATAAAGTAATACAAAAGAAAACAACAGCAAATAGTTTTATTGATTCCCTTTACAAAGAGAAAGCACCGGGCCTTTTCATCAGTACAACCCAGACCACACCAAACCAAAAGAGAAGTCAAAACACCATTATAATTAGTCTACAAATCTACAGGCTAAAAAAATTTATCCAAAATTTCTCTTTTATGAGTTGAGAATGAGAAAGTACTATTAAGGCCTCGTTTGGAAAGTGACCGGTTTAGTCAAAAAGTCAAAAAGTTACAAAAAATGATAAAAAGCTAACAACTCATACTAAAAAGTTAAAGATTCTCTTTTTTCTCTACTTTTTACATATCTTTTCGTAAAAAATCAAAAAATCATCCCAAACATACTAGTTTTTTTTTTAGAGGGAAATGATGGTGCAGGTAAATAGATCTTCTATGGAAATCTCATATTTAAAATTAGATAAAAGAATAAACAAAAAAAAAATGGAGGGGGAACTTTGATGGAAAGAGGAGAGAAAATTTGAGAGAGATTTTGAGGGAAGAGAGAGGAGAGAAGGGTTTCTGCAAATGCAAAAGACAATAATTTAGTAATTTAGTACACTTGTCATCTTTTTAATGGAATGGTAAACCAACTGATCAAAATTGATGTAGTGTACCAATTATTAAGCAACATTATATGTACAATTTTTTATATTAAGTTTTTCATATTAAAAAACTTACTAAAGCACACTTGTTCAAACATCATTAGATGTCCAAGAATAATTACTTTCGACCACCAATAATATATGGTTTCTTGTTCTTATAATAAATTTTAATATAAGTGCTAGTGTCTATAGAATTATTTTTTAATATTTTCTACAAAATCATTAATAAAGTATTTCATGTCATACTTCATAGACTAAGTAAACAAAATATAATTTGTGATTGGTTTAAAACTGCAATCTTTCTTTCAAAGTGTATGGATCACATCTACAATTATAGAACCCATTGCATGGTTTAGTTCTAGTTCTTAAAATAAGCAAATTGTACCTCATGGTTTAATCCATGATTTTGTAGTTAAGGTTTCAATTTAGAATCAAACCTATATACAAATATATATGTATACACATAAGTAATTAATCTTACTGTGATAGAACTAATTCTAAGCATTCATCTAAACCATCATTGCTTGAAAAATATTGAATTATTATTTAATGTTTTAGTAGATTGTCAAAAATATTTTGTGATCATCTATACTATCTATATTATTATTATTATTATTATTATTATTATATAAACTGAAAGTTGGACTTGGTGTCCAAGCATTTGCTTGCTTCTCCTTATGCCGTGTGTCTCTCATTTCTCTAGTTAAAATAAAACAAAAAAAGTTATATAGATGTGCAAATACTTACCCAAAAAATATTGAAGTGTACAAGACTTGAAATTAAGACTTTTAATCTAAGAAAGAAAACTCTTACCACTTGAGCAGTACACATTATGATATTAATTTTATTATTATTTGTTATTATTTTCACTTACTTGAATTACACATATATCGTGTGTGTCAACCGCTAGAATTGTAAATGATGACAAGTTTCTAAAGATCGTCATTACAAAATGACCGAACCGAACTGAACTACATGTTACTAGTTCGGTGTGGTTTTTATAATTTGGTTTGGTTCCAAATTTCACGGACCTAAGTAGTGATTTAGTCATCGATTTACTTTTAAACCGAACCATACTAGCCCCTAACACAACTGGACTTCATTTCGTCTATAGAAAGTGACAAGAAATGCAATTTTAGTAAGCAAATTATTCTGTCCTAAGTTTTGCACCTTCTTTCAGATGCCAACCTTTCGAGGTCAACTCTTTGTGATGATTTGTTTGTATAGTCTAGTCCCTTTTTATATTCTTATGAACTGTTCACAATTGAATCAAGTTGTATTACTATTGGATGTTTTCGTCAACCAATTACATTTCAACGAAAGAGCTGAACTTCAATCACAAGAAACAGCAGCTAAGTTTGTTGAACTTCACGGCAATAAATGTTTTAGTTTTCTGCAGATTAGTTGGACAGTAATGTGCAAGTAATGTTTGAGATTATCACTAAATTGTTTTTTTTTTATTTTGACTTTTTAAGGTTGACACTGTTGTGCCGGCAAAGGTTTTACAAAGCTCCAGTCATTGTTTATTTTTTCAGATATATGCTTCCCTTTCATTGAAGCTTCTTCTAGGTATTGAATAAATATGCTTCCCTTTCAATGAAGCTTCTTCTAGGTATTGAATAATCTAGTAGGTGAAACTTGACCATCAAGATTTAGATTATAGCTAATTGAACGGGTCAGCTGAGTGACATGCGTTCGAATCACATGAAGTACTTGAACCTCTTGCAGACCATTGTAGGACCTGTCCCAATAATTGGGTATAACTGTAGGACAAAGGACTCTATATGTACCTGATGACTAGACTAGACAAAGAGCCTCAAATACCTAAACAAAACAAAATTATTAACTAACATTAGGCTATAGCTAGTTTCAGTATAAAAGTTCTATAAAGTTCAAGAGCCAGCATACCATGTACTTGCTCAACTACTGGTCCCAATTGTCAATCATGGCCATCTCTTTCTACAACATTCCAACTTCATTTACATCTCCAAATGCTCATATTATTCTCTTCTCCTCCTCTTTTTTCTTCTTTCTTCTTCCCTTGGCAAGTTCAGTTTATTTCCAGATACCTCGCTTTGATCCTGATGCAACCAACATAGTCTATGAAGGAGATGCAGTACCTTCTGTTGGAGCCATTGAATTCAACAAAATCAATTATCTCTGTCGTGTTGGCTGGGCCACCTATGCAGAGAGTGTGCGGCTCTGGGACTCCAACACTGGAAAGGTCTCTGACTTCACCACCCATTTCTCCTTCATCATCAATACCCAAGGGCTTAGCAACTATGGTCACGGGATTGCATTCTTCCTTGCTCCTGTTGATTTCCATATCCCACCAAACTCGGCAGGTGGCTTCCTAGGACTGTTCAATACCACAACTAGTGATTCATCCCGGAACCAAATAGTTGTGGTCGAGTTCGATTCCTTTCCAAATCCTGAATGGGATCCTTCATATGAGCATGTTGGGATCAATAACAATTCCATTGCATCGGCCATTACCACCCCTTGGAATGCTAGCTTGCATAGTGGAGATAAAGCCGATGCTTGGATTACTTACAATGCCACTACTAAGAATTTGAGTGTGTTCTGGTCCTATCAGGTAAACCCTAATTTTCAAGGGAATTCAAGTCTTTCTTATCAAATTGACCTAAAGGAGGTTCTACCAGAGTGGGTCAAGGTTGGATTTGCAGCTGCTACCGGTCAGAACGTAGAGCGTCACATGCTTGAATCATGGGAGTTTAGGTCAAGTTTGGATACAAAAGACACAAGCACAAAGAAGGGGAAAAAGATTGGATTAATAGTAGGCCTAACAGTTTCAGTGGGTGTTTTGATTTTGGGGGGGATCATAACATCTATAATTTTGTGGAAAAGGAGACATAATAGAAGGGAAACAGCGGAGTCGACTAACTTGACATCGATCAATGATGATCTTGAAAGAGGTGCTGGACCAAGAAGGTTCTCTTACATAGATCTTGTTTCGGCTACTAACAACTTCTCTGGCCAAAGAAAATTGGGAGAAGGAGGATTTGGTTGCGTTTACAAGGGGTACTTTAGTGATTTAGATATGACTGTAGCTGTGAAGAAAATCTCAAGAGGGTCTAAACAAGGGAAAAAGGAGTACATAACTGAGGTGAAGATTATCAGCCAATTGAGACACCGGAATTTGGTGCAGCTCATGGGTTGGTGCCATGACAAAGGTGAGTTTCTTCTTGTCTATGAGTTTATGTCAAATGGAAGCCTTGACGCTCACCTCTTTGGCAAGAAGAGTCCTCTCACTTGGGCCTTGAGACACAAGATAGCTCTTGGTTTGGCCTCTGCATTGCTCTATCTACATGAGGAATGGGAGCAATGTGTGGTCCATCGGGATATCAAGTCGAGCAATATAATGCTAGATTCAAACTTCAATGTCAAGCTTGGAGACTTTGGCTTAGCTCGTCTTATGGACCATGAATTAGGCCCCCAAACAACCGGTTTGGCTGGAACTTTAGGCTACTTGGCACCAGAATACATAAGTACAGGCAAGGCAAGTAAAGAGACCGATGTTTTTAGCTTTGGGGTGGTTATATTAGAAATTGCTGCTGGGAGAAAATCGGTAGATACCAGAGATGAAGAGTCTCAGACTGGGTTAGTGGAGTGGATTTGGGAGCTCTATGGAAGAGGGCAACTTCTTTCAGCTGTAGATGAGAAGATTAATATGAATTTTGAGGTGAAGCAGGCAGAGTGTTTGATGATTGTTGGCCTGTGGTGTGCTCATCCTGACCAAAGTCTGAGGCCATCAATAAGGCAAGCTATTCAAGTGCTTCATTTTGAGGCAGCAATGCCAAATCTTCCAATCAAGATGCCAGTTCCCATGTATAACCTACCTAGTACATCAACAATTAGTACTGGTGGTGCCTCGATAACCTACACAAGCTTTGAGATGGGTCGTTGAACCTTAGTTACACAAAGTGGGGCCGGGGGCTGTAGTGAAAGTGGGAGCGGGGAGGGAGGAGCGAGGGAAAATAGAAGTTTCTTATGTTGGGAGCAGCTATGGGAGCGTGTATATATTTATTTATTAAATATATAAAGATATTCTAACAATTATTTTATGTTGCTTAGTTGTAGTATATGTATTAACATATAAAGATATATTAGAGATTTATGTCAATTACAAATTGTCTTTGTTAAGTATAAATAAATATTATATAAATAGAAACTATTAGAATAAGCTTAAATTGTTTTTCTTTTATTTCTATGAAATTTGTAAGTTTGTGAGATTTCTATCTCAATTGAGAGAGAGTTTCCTTATTGACGGGAGCGAGTTTCTTACTTGGGAGCACAGAATCGCATTTCTTAGTACGAAACACCACTCGAATAGAAGGTTCCTGCTACTAAGCGTTCACCAAAGTTTGCCTCTGTACAGACAGTATCTCTCTTAGAACTTTATTTGTTAATACTCTTTATCATACTTTGCATGCAAGAAATGGAAATAAACCAGTGTCATTAAAGGCGCGCCTAGGCGTGCGCCTAGGCCCAAGTCTCATCTCGGCCCAAGGTTTGCACCTTGTAGTGTTCCAAGCCAAGCAACTTCGATAAGACTTGCCTAGGCGTGTGCCTAGGTCTAAGTCCCGTCCAAGCCCAAGGTTTGCACCTTGTAGTTAGGGGTGTTCAAAAAATCGAATCACCCAATGAAACCGACCAATCCGAACCGAACTAAACCGAACCGAACCGAACTAAACCGAACCGAACCGAATGATTATGGTCGGTTTCAAAAAGCCTTCGCAGTCGGCTCGGTCCTTGTATGTAAAATTTATCAATGTTTCAGTCGGTTGACGGTGTTCCTTGGGAACCAACTAAATCCGAACCGCCCGAAAAATAGTCTAATAGGCTTATAGGAATTAAATATCTTCACTCTTCACTAGAGGTGTAATTTTGGCCCACGGCCCGTTTAGGCCTGAGCCCAAGGCCTTGGGCCTGGGCCATCGTTTTAAAGCCCAGCCCAGCCCGCGTGGCCCGCCCATGGGCCTGCTCAAGGCCCGGCCCACCCGAGGCCCAGTGTTATTTTTAATGAAAAATAATAAAACTTTGATAGAAAAAATTTAAAAAAATAAAAAATTTGTTTAGGCTAGCCCAAAGCCCGAGCCCAGGCCCAGGGGCCCGGCCCACTTGCCCACCCATAGCCCGAATACCCCTGGGCCTGGGCCTAGTTTTTTTGGCCCGTGGGCCGGCCTGCCCCGGCCCGATTTTTTAGCTGGAGTCCGCAAGGCCCGACATGGGACCGGGCCGGGCCAAAATTACACCTTTACTCTTCACGTGATAATAATAATCAAAACTCTGAGTCTCTGTATCAATTACAAAAAAAGTAGCACATGGCTCAAAAAAAATAGGTCTGACCTTTCTTTTCCATTTCGTTTCATATTTCAAATGCAAGGAAAAAAAAAAAAAACTCAATAAACATTTGACCAATAGTAAGGTAGTCTGGTGCCTAACCCTATAGCACAGTCAGGTTGATTTCACCTAAGTCTCTGTATCAATTACAGAAAAAGTAGCACATGGCTAAAAAAAAGGGGTCAAACCTTTCTTTTCCCTTTCGTTTAACATTTCAAATGCAAGAAAAAAAAAAAAAAAAAAAAAAAGTTTCACATTTCAAATGCAAAAAAAAAAAAAAAAAAAACATTTGACCAATAGTAAGGTAGTCTAGTGCCTAACCCTATAGCACAGACAGATTGATATTTTCAATACATGGACCCATGTGATTAATTGTATATATATATTTAATATATATGATGTAAAATTTAATGTATAAAGCCATGAAATAAAACTCCTTAAAGAATTTTTAAAAATTAAAAAAGAAAAAAAAAAAAAAAAAAAAAAAAAAAAAAAAAACATTTGACCAATAGCAAGGTAGTCTAGTGCCTAACCCTATAGCACAGACAGATTGATATTTTCAATACATGGATCCATGTGATTAATTGTATATATATATTTAATATATATGATTATAGCCACATCATCATATATACATGATGTTATGATATACATGTTTTATGTATTGTTGTTTGTCTACTGTTCACTCTTCATTTTTTCTCGCAGAACTGTAATGCCTCTCTCTCTCTCTCTCTCTCTCTCTCTCTCCAAACACATCCTCTTTCAACCCCTCTCTGACTCTGATGGTTTATTGCATCCAGATCCATTCGGTCATCAACAACCATTATCCAGATCGCTCTGTTTTGATGCTCTTGGATTAGATCGAAAAGCTATGAATGTCAACAACATACCACAACCCTCTTCTTACTTTCCTTGTCTTTCACAAATCTGTCTGTATGTATATTTGTCTATGCGCAAGAGAAGGATAAGCTGTTGATGGAAAAATCACCCGAGAATTCAACCGATTCTGACCGACAAACCGTAAGGCCCGATGCTTGCGATTTCGAACTGTCTACGGTCGAAATCGGATGTTAAATTCTCCTACCCGTGATGGTCGGTTTGGGTGGCGAGTTGATAGTGAAACCGGTCCAAACCGACCCGTGAATACCCCTACTTGTAGTGTTTCAGGCTAGATGACTGTGATAAGGGGCCTAATTGGCCCAAGGCTTGGGTCTTAAGGACTTTTTTTATTGTTACTTTAATTGGTTTTGTTTAAAATCTGACAATTGATTTAATATGATGAAGTTACAGAAAATGCCTACTCTTATTATAGATGTCAATACATAGGACATTCAACCCCAAATCAATGATAGAAGAAAAATTAGTCCTAATTCCTAATCTCCAAAAAACACTAAATGTTTAACATTTCATTTTGTTTATGTTGAATTCTAAATTATTTACTTATATTAAATTATATTTTTTTCCGTATAAGGTGTGCTACACTTTGGTGAAGCCTGCGCCTCATCTTGCGCCTTGAGCCTAGGCCCCAGGAGACCTTGGTACACCTATCACCTTTAATAACACTGAAATAAACAATAAGAAAAAGGCCTGTATCACTAAATCCATGCCAATGGTACTAAATTGTCTATTTTTTATTTAGGTTGAGGCACCTATGCCTGAGGTAAAGAAGGCAAATAATAACAATCCAAACAAGTTTTCTAATATGGGTCTTAGTCCTTGTTATATACATTTTCTCTGAGACTAGTATACTTAAGGTGTTGTACAGTTTATTATTTTTTGTCCCCTCTTCACATACAGTAATTTTTTTTTTTTTTTGATAATCTTCTTAGTTTGCAAACATTGCATTCAGTCCTTCCATTTCCTTATAATGTTTCTTGTTCAGGAGTTAAGGGTGATGGAGGTCACTAGTTCAAGCACACCTAGAAAGTTTCAGTTCAGTTTCTTCTAAAGTCAGATGTTCAGTTCAGTTCAGTTATTCTTAAGCATTTTCAGTTCTGTTCTTCTCAATTAAACATTTCAAGTCCTGTGTACATTCACATCTTACATGAGACAATTTTTTATTAATTTTTCTCAGCACCGTACTTTTATTGATGATTTGAAAAGAGTACAAGAGGATTACACTGAGATTACACCAACAAAATGTGAGCAAAAACAAGAAAATATTTATATATATATATATAAAAGCAAAGAAAAGTGGAGAAGATGCCAACAACAATATTCCCCTATCAAAGAACAAGCTAAGAAGCATGGATACAAATACGAGATACAGATACGATACGATATGGATATGGTGATATGACATCTAAAAAAATAGGATACAAGTACGGCTAAGATATCTTTTTTTAAAAAAAAAATTATTAGTCATCAGTTACACATGAGCTAAAAAAATGTTGAAGAACCATACTGTAATTTTATAATGAAAAATACTAATATTTAAGAATTAGGTATTAATTACAATAATAGAACAGCGATATTTAATTTTATTTTATTTTCTAATTCTTACTTTCTATGTAGTTATAAGGGATGAGCATGATACAATAAGAATAAATCAATTTGACAAATTATATTACTTTAATTCACTATGTTCTTATTAAAGAACTAAGCAAAGTATTGAAAAAATATTCTTGTATTTATCCTCGCAATTATATTATATTATAATAGTATGTAAGAAATACTATAATTCTAATTTCGCAAAAGTAATACATGACTTGGAGTATCCGATACTTCAAAATTAATGAAAAATTAATTAAGAAATATTCAAAACTTTTAATAAGTATCCGATACGTATCTACGAGTGTCCAAGTAGTATCAATATCCGATACGGATACGATACAGATAAGTTGCCCTTTTAGAAATATCCGTGCTTCATAAAGAACAAGTAATCAAACAACCCTTCCAAAAACATTTTACTTGGTTCCATTTTTCCAAAAACACTTTTCAAAAAATTCTACGTTCTTATTTTCCATGTTTTTTTGTTTTTACTGAAATTTTTTAATATTTTAAGCATTTTTTTTACTTTTTAGACACACCTAACATAAATACACCCAAAAAGTAAAAAAATTGTAAAAAAAATCTTTTAAAAATTCACTAAATACCAAAAATACAAAAAAAATACAAGAATTCAGTACATTTTTTGTATTTTTATGTATTTATTAATTTTTTAAAATATTTTTTCACAAATTTTTACTTTTTAGATACATCTAAGTACGGTGCATCTAAAAAGTAAAAAAGATGTTTAAAATTTTAAAAATATTCACTAAAAACAAAAAAACACGAAAACCAAAAAACTCAATTTTCAAAAAACTTAATCCAGAAAACTCAAACCAAACACACTTAATAAGTGTCAGAAAGCTCAAAATTATAAAGCACCACATCCCAAAACACAGGGAATCACCAAGCACCACAACAATACCTTAACAACAGTCAACTGTCATTCATTGATATCCAAAGCAATCCTAATCAACCAACCAGCTACCTTATGCATCAATTCTCTAACACCTGCAATGTATTTGACAAAATCAAATAGAAAAATGAAAAACATTTTTTTGAGTACTTGACTCAAATTGCAACCATTTCTTTGAGGGTTCCACAATATCTTCCCAATTAGAATTCTTATTATTGAAAACCAAACCATTCCTTGCCACTCTCTTAAGGACCACAAACTAGCAAAAAATAAAGCCTCCCAGATTACTTTCCTCAAATTCTTATATTTAAAATCAAATATGTGCTCACATAATTAAAGTGGAATATCATTCTAGAAAAGTAGTTTTCTGTTATAGGATTTATTTAGTCAATATCATTATGAGAACAATTATATCCTATTTTATTTTTAAAATTAGTTAGAATTGTAGACTATTATTTTGAAAAATGCTTTAGGCCCATAAACCATAGACTCTAAATTTATCTCCAATGACATGTGTTGTTGCATGTCAGCTATTGATTTATTTACGAATAAATCAATGAAGACCCAACCCAATGCCACACCAGTGTGGATAAATTTAAGGGTGGTATTTTAGGAATCTTTAGCATTACCCATAAAATTTGTTCATAATTTAACCATGCAAAAAGGATATGGGTTGAGGAAGTTCAGGGTTAATTTTGATGAAAGTTTTACTTTCAAATTCTTATGAGCAAGAATATTGCAGTATTGTTGATGGACTCTTTTGTACTTTTTTGTATACATATACGTCAAAAATATAAATAAAAAAAATTCCGATTAAAATAGAACACTGCAATATATCAATTTTTAGAAAAAATTTGTACCTTGAAATGTAAGTGTATGATGTAGATTCAAATTTGGTGTGATGT